GTGAAATCAGAGCAGATACATTTCTCTCCAGTTCTGGATGTGACTCAAATAACCAAACGTAACGGCCATTTCTAGGATATGATGTGCAAATTCAATTATAATAACAAACTGATAATTGGTTTCCTTAGTGTATTCATAAAAGATGCAACCATATACTCTCAACAATAATTTAACGATGTATCGCAACGCGTATACAAGTCGGTGCTGATAAAGACACAAATAAAGCAGTAACAACTCTAGGCTAATTTTCCATTTCCTTTCTATAAATCTGTCAACGTTTGGATAATTTTCTACTTCTTTAGTGTTTTGCTAAATTTAATTCTATAAAGAAGCTAAATTTTTATGTTTTGTCTGGTAACATTTCAATGGAAAATTAAAACCTGATCACTGCGTCCAACCCCAACAACATTCACGGTTATTTATTATTGTATTATTTAATACAATCATGTTGTATCACATAATGCAATATGATAGTCAGTGACAGTAATAAGGTTTATATTATCCAATTGATGTCAAAATGAGAAGGATTTCAAACTACATTTCTTCCCCTCTTCTTCCCCTCCAAGTCTGATCTGGTGTAAACATCACTCCCTCACAGGAAAAAAAGTCTTTTTAAAAACTAATAAAGTATAGTTGAATTTTTGAACTGTTAATGCCTATAATCTATGATAAAATGACAAAAAAAATAAATAAATAAAAAATAAAAAAAACAGACATTTGTCAAAGTGTGAGCATAAAGGGCAACACAATGTTGAAAATGTGAACCCCTTGGTTGTACATTTGGATTTTAGATGCAAAGCTAAAAAATCATCTACAACAGCAAGTTGATAACTGTACTGAGATCTGAGTTCAGTGATAAAAAACATTTTCCAAGTTGTCTTGGAACATGTTTAGCCTTGAAGCTTCCCAAAACATATAGAATACACAAAAATAACCAAAACAGCTTAAGATCAAACCATTTCAGAGCACGGTCGTACACCAACTACCCCACCTGCTGTTGCTCCATGGCCTCTTTGTGTGACTTCTCCATTTGGTTCATCTTAACTCTCATATTTGACTCCTGGTACTGAAAATCAGCTTTAAGCTCTGTGAGCTACAAGGGGAAAAAAATGTAACATTTAATAGGCAAATTTAAAAAAAAGAGAGAGCAGAAACTCAGAGCTTTGACTGAATAATCAGTGCTAGAGTTCATATACGAAAGACGACTCACCTTTCGATCCTTCTCCAGAATGGTCTGATCTCTCTGCTGAAGAAGCCTCTTTAGTGACATCACTTCCTCTTTCAGCTGGCTGATGAGAATAAAGTTGTCTGTTCCACCGGAGTCCATGGACTGGGTGATTGAACTACTGTTGGGATGAACAAGCAAACAAATAATGAAAAGAAAAAAAAAGTTCCTGAACATATGGGACAAATATTATGCAGCTCTAAAGTTGAGCTTGAATGACAACGCTGGGGGTACCTGTCCCCATTGGATGGCTTCAGCTCCAGTTTTGGTTTCTTCTTTGGAGTCTCTTTCTGGATTGAAGACGATTTATGGCTGCAAAAGAAAAGCAAAGAGGAAAACTGAACTGTGAATATTTAAACACAATTGTAAAGGTTGCTGTGCAACTTAACAAACTTGAAGTTGCTGTACCTCTGCTTCCACAGTCCCGGCTCCTGCTCAGGACTCAAGCTCCCACTCAGTCTGTTAAAGATGGATAAACTTAGCAAACTGCACTTCATGGTATAAACTTTTTACTCCAACTATGACTTTCAGACAAAAATATTGACAATGGCTGAAAGTTAGCCATTTTCAGTACTGCTGAGATATTTTAAAGTGAAACACAGATATGTAAAAAACTATTTAAAAGAAAACTTTCTGCCGTTTATTCAGGTTGAAAGTGAATAAGTGGAAAATAAAAATCTAAAGCAGATAACATGATGTCTCTACAGCAAAGTTGCTCTACTTTTTCATTTGAAGTTTTCAACATCTACCATGAAACATGCCAATTTTGGAAATGCATCATAGTTAAGATAACTATTTGCTATTTGTATTTACAAGTAAATACACACAGAGATTGGAAGGCTAGCCAGGCTAATCGCTAACATAATATAAATTACTGCCTTATAATTTTGGTTTTGTCATTGGTGCAACATCGACTCTGGTCTTGATAATTAGTGAAGAAAGACCAGAAAATAATACATTTTTAATGCTTTTCTTATTTTCCTGCGTTTTCATTCTTGGGGAGAAATCAGAATCACACACAATCGAAATCTTGCAGGTGAAAACATTTGCGAGAACTGGACACAAAGTTCAGATTGGTGAATCTCTACTGACGAGAAGTGACAACTTGTGGCAGACATACTTGTTGTGGGAGCTGCTGTGTCTGTGCTGGTGGTGATGATGATGATGGTGATGCGATCTGGAGTGGTGGTCTTTCTCATTCAAGGATGAGGAGTTGGAGGAGCCGAAGCCCTTCCTCTGTTCTTTAGTCTTCTGCAGGACGCGGCGGTAGGACAGAGTGCAGAGCCAGCACAGCAGCTTGCCGTCCACCTGTAGCACAAGCAAAAGAGAGCAGGTGGTGAGTCTCCGCCCGTAACGAACGTGCCGCAAACTCAATATTGCTCTAGTTTTCACCTTTCTTCTGCCTTCCTCTTTGCGGTCGAAAGCGCACTGCTGCTTGCACTGTTCGCAGGTCTGTGGGGGTCCATATTTCTTCTCCGAGTTAGTACACCGCTGGCATTTTGTCCCGATGAAAGCTGCAATGATGTTACAGTACTGGCAGGGTTTGGGCTGGAAAGACAGATGAAGGAAAACTTTTGAAAACAGGATATGGACATAAAACAGTGACAAGCAATTTCAAAATGTGAGGTCTTTGTTAAAAGACTGATAGTTTGGAGCACAAGTGCGAGTATATAACGCAAGTCCAGGTCAACTTTACACTAAAACAAATTAGTAAGATTCGACTACTCACCGTTCCGAACTGTTTGACGTTCTGGGCACATTTCTTGCAAATGGTATTTGTTTTACTATAGAGGAACAAACGGGGTTTGAATCCACCAAAAAAAATAAACATCCCAAATAAGAAGTAATAGAAAATAGTGGAGCCCTTCTCACCTCTCCTGTTGAAACTCAGATCTGCAGTATGTACACTTCACTATTGGGTGTGCAATACGACACTCCTGCAAAAGAAAGGAAAAATTAAGTACAGAAGTCTCCAGTTATGGGCACACTTGGTATAAAAGTGTGTAAAAAGTCTTAAAATAAATTCTGATTTTTTTTTATGTTGAGATGCATTTATATTTCCAATCTGATGAAGAATACCTCATAAATTCTTGATTGCATCTATTTTATTTGTTAATCCAGGTCGACAAATCAACCTTAGTTGAATGAAGTGCTCTCTTGTTTTTCCCCATTTTAGAAAATTGCAAGGAGTTTTTAATTAAACTTTTTTAAAATGAGATTCTGCTAAAAGATCAATTTATTTTATTTAACATCTTCACCAAGAATGCCAATATTTTATCTGTATACACGGTTCATTTTTTCCTCCCTTTATCTTTTGTGACTCGTTGTCACAAGAGAAATTGTGTATTAGTTTTAAGTTGGTATCCTTCAACTTTATAAAGACAATATGGCAGGCAATCAACGATTTAATTCAGTTAAAAACTTTAAGAGCAGCTCATTTAAAAAAAAATCTGAAACACATTAATTTGTAGAAGCTAATTAAGGGCATGTGGAAATTATATAATGGTTAAATGTGACTTAAAAGGCCTTTAATTCTCAGCTGTACCACCACACAAGCAGCACCACAGGAGCAACACGTCTGAAAAATATGTACACTAACAAGTGTTCAGCAGGTCAGGGTGTGGTAACACTGCTATAACTCTACAATAAAATGAACATTACGTTCATGTGGACATTTTCCAAGTTGTTACATAATCTGAGCCCTTGCTAAATCTCTCCAAGGTGGCCACAACCAAACACCCGCACACAACTCCACTCCTAAGGTCGTGATTGTTTGGGTCGTCCTCCCTCTCATGCTCTCCAACCTTGCAAAGCTGCTGGCCCTGCGACAGCTCCTCGAAGGGGTACCGCTGGTTGCACTTCGTGCAGGCGTACAGAGCCGACGTTGCCATTCTCGCCCCAACCTGAGCAGGCGTCCGATCTAGCCGAGGAACACCGAGGTCCGGCCGCGAACCGAGCCGATTAGCCGCGCTGTTTTTACCGTCAGAGCCGCTCGCTGTTGCTCAACTGAGAGCTGGGAAAAACACACCGCGTTGGCATCCAGCGCTGGCCGACGTTAGCCCGCTCGGCTACGTAGCGCAGGGCAAATACAGAAATAGCTCAGCTGGAGGGAGCGAGCGAGCGAAGAACAATAAAGTCCTGATCTCCGGGCTCTCGCGCTGCGTCGTCCCGCCGCAACGGCTTCTCCTTGGCTTTCGATAGCGTGGCCTCGGTATTAATCCTCATCAACAATGAACTCCGCAGGGTTGAAGTTTCCGCTGTTCTCGCCGAGAAAATGTATTTTCCTTGTGTTTTCCGTGTCTCTTTTTGTGTCATGTAACCGGAAGAGGCCGACAGCTCCCGAAGAAGGAAGGAAACCTATCGCGACACAACATCCGTCCGCGGGATTTACAGTTTGAAATCAGCTCAGCCAATCAGGGGTCCGCTCACATTTTAACAGTTTCCAATATCCCTCTACATTTACGTTGTTAAAAGGACAAACAGCAAGTTGGCTTGAATATTTTAAAAATGCTTTAGGGTGTTTATACAAAAATCTGAAAAGTGAGGTGAAAATGAAATGCCCCTAAATACAATCCAATGCTCTTCTGTAAAGGCCTCAAGAGTTTTGTGAGAGAGCATTAGTGATTAAACGCCAACATGAAAACCAAGTTAACACTGCAGACAGGTCAGGGAGAAATTTGGTGCAAAGTTTACGACAATATCTCACTGGTCACCATTTGACATTATCCACTCACAATCAATAAACATTAAAAATGACTCCACAGTGTCACTTTTATTAAATAGTTTAATATGGTTTGACATCTAACAGTACACTTGACAATGCAGGAAATGAATGAATAAAGGCAGTAAGCACAGTATAAGGAAAGGTGTGGTAGCTTATGACTAATAGTTCTACATTTTAAAGGAACAGTAAAGCATTATCAGTGACAGAGATGTACAGAGAAAGATGTAGTGGAATAACAATCCAAGAACAATTAGTTTGTTAGTGGGTATTGGATATTTAAAAGCTGCAATGTAGAAACATAACAATGTAAGAGTTCCCACCAATAGAGTCAACCTTTCTTTGTTTTTGTTTTTTTTTTGTTTTTGTTTTTTTTACCAGGAAAGGCACTTTTCATAAACTAGAGATCATTACTGCTAGTGCTATTAGGGAAGTTACCAAACATTTCAACAGCTTACATATGAGAAAAACATCATGAGGCTGATTAGTGTTTCATGCGAGTGTTTTTATCATCATTGTGCACATTTGAGTTTTTACTCTTGATTATTTATGTGAAAGGCACAGATTCTAATTATTACAATACATTTAATAACCAAACCAAATAGCATATCCTTTGCAACTTACTGATATCACCCAAAAAATTTGATTATGAGACTAAGAGAATGTTTACAGTTCATAACGAGTCCGTACTACAGGATAATAAATGTTAGCTTCCTAAAGAAATTAAACTTAAAAAAGGTGAATTGCTCAGTAAAAGGAATGTTATACAAAGTATCCCTTCTCAAATAAAAACAGATATTTGGTCACAACAGTCTAACAGGATTGATTTATGAAGACAAATCAAGTGTTAAAAATGACAATCATTTCTTTTTTAGTTATTGGTTGAAACAAATATGTAGAAACTCAAAGGCTGTTGGGTTTTCTTCAGTTTTTTTGCAACACAAATTGTTTCACAAATTGTGCTGCTATGCACGAAGTAGTGGAGAGGAGTGAGTGTTCCTATGACGCATAAGGCATAAAAAATGTAACCCGAATGATAACTAGTGTAAAAACTAACACTGATTGTGGGTGGGTAAACAGGCATTAAAATCCTTCTTTATGTTTTTACATGCCCTCCTACCTCACAGGACTAGTGTTATATATATATATGGCTGCAGTCCAGTGATATCAGACATCTCCAACGTAAACACACTCTACACAAATAGTCACACATCTCTGCCTGTCCAAACTTGAGGTGGTTGTGTATTCGTCCCCTGAAGAGGCGGATTGACACACAGGCTCTTCTTGGATCCAGGTGTGACACTGATTCCTAGTTTTCCAATGTTCTCCCAGGCATAAAAACACTGCTTTCATAAAGACATCGAGTGTCAAACAAAGGTTTGCACAGGAGTGATGGAGCGTGTGGGTGAGCCCGCCCTCTCCGAAGACGATGAAGCAGAGCGGTTCGTCACCTCCCTCTGTAGTTCGTTCACCCTCTTCTGAAGTTCGGCTCGCTTCGCCAGCAGCTCCTTATGGCGCTGGTGAATAGGTTCCTTGTCGAAGACAGAAAAAAGAAGCCTACATTTTCAGCTTTGGAACACTTAAAAACCAACAAAAAGAGAAGAATTTATCATATACCTGCGGTTTCATGCGAGGGTTCCAGCGGATGTAGTAGCCAGACCAAAGCTCCAGGTGGCGCAGGCTGACAACGGGGAACAGCACCTGGTTTGAGTAGTTTACATACATTGGATTGGTGAACTCTTCTAGCTGGCTGTTAATGTAGGACCACACCGAGACCGTCCTCTTGGGAATCTCCTTTAAATAAAGAAGAAAAAACAACTGCATTAATGTTTTTGCATCACCTTCATTTAAGTTATCCTGTCCCCATCACACTTTTGTGAATCCGCGTTATGATTCTATAAAAATATAAAGCTTCCAACTTAATTTTGAATTAAACTGCATTTCATGCAAGAGAGAACAAAAGACAAACTGATTTCATGGAGACAAACTTTAGCTGCTTTATGCAAAAAAAGTAGCTATTTCACACGAAAAAACAAGAGCTTGCTGTGTGTTTAAGTGTGTAGGTTTTGGACAGGTTGCATGTACATATATTATAAATCACTTTAAAGTCAACTAAAAACAATCAGAATCTGTTTTGTTCTCCAAGTTTGTGTAAAAAAAAAAAGAAATCTGACCACAAGTCAGACTAATGGAAACATCTTAGATATTAATGTTTAAGTGAAATCTTGTTTGTGTTATCTTTTTACTATGGACCTTTTCATGTGTATGGAATAAATATATAATGACGACAAAAAGCTTTTATTATAATAATTTAAGGTCAACTATATCAATGACCTTTAACAATGGATGCAATTACTGACGGAGGTTTAATTGACCGTTTTCCAGTTAAAAATGTCACTCATTGTAATTTGTGACAACTAAGGCAGGAAAAAATGTAAATAGGATCCCTTTATGGAGACTTAAGCCACATTAAATTACAGTTTAAGTGAGTAATCAAAGCGAAAGAGGATTAAAAAGATGTAAAAACAGTGGCAAAGGCCAGGTGGCAAATACTGATAATAATTAACATGCTAATTAGGGAATGATGTGCATAAAGTAGAGACTAAATTTAGTTTTGAATGCTGATGAGGTGAACTGTGTAATAATCTTTTTATAACTTGGAGGTTTTAATTTTGCGTATAGCATTAAACTTTCATCCCACACAAGAAGCATGGAGAAAAAAATGAAAAGAAAAATGACCTTACTCTGTCCTATTGAAATACAATCTGTACATTTTACACTATTCACCTGGAAAAACATTCACCATAGAAATATTGAATGCAAAAGGATTTGATGTTTCACAAAATGTGAAACAGGTTTTTAGAAATCACAATATATGTAGCAAGGAATGTGACAGCAACTTGTAGTAATAATGATTCAATGCAGAATCAAAAGAGCCCTTACTTCCTTCAATCTTTGCTGTTCACTGTTACACAGGAATGTCCCAAACAGGCAGCTGTAGAGATGATCCAGGATCGTTACCAAGAAGTATTCATTAAACTCAAAAGCTGCAGGAAACTTCAATAACGGAGAAAAATACACATTATCTTTCAAGCGTCACTATTTTCCACACAGAAATGTATCACGTGGTTATCCTTTACTTACCTGTCGGGTCAATTGCCACACACAGTCAATGAACTGGATAAAGACAGGGGAGCGGTCTGCATCGTTGTGGTTTTTATCGCCGTGACCGATACGCTGACAGACCCGCGATGAGGAAAGTCGATTATGTATTTTCAAACTACAACATACAAGTATTTTTTATTTTTTTTTTAGAGGGATAAAAATGTTTCAGTTTACCAGCTGGAAGCGATGTCCAAAACTCAGCCACTCTTTCTCGAGCAGCACTTCGAAGCCGCGTATGGTTCTGTAGTAACCGTCCAGCATGAGAAGGGACAGAGAGGTGAGCTGGGTGGTCCTGTCCCAGCCGTCGCTGCAGTGCACAACCACGGACGTTTTCCCGGACTCCACCTTGTCGGCGATCCTCAGCGCTCCGGCCAGAATCAGCTGAAAACACACCAGCAGAAAAATAAACACAAAGTAGCTAAGAAATGCTGGTGGGCGGCTCGTTTTCATAGTTAATCCTGCCCACTTTGATGTGTTCGAGCCAGTGAGTGGACTCCAGGTTGGACAGCCAATGGGAGTCCTCGATATTGGGGTAAACTAAATCTTTGAGTTTGCGCAGCGACTCCCGCATGACGTGGATGTTGTGGATGTCCAAGAACACGAGCTCAGCGTTCTGATATGCGTCCTCACTTTCAAATCCACCGCCTTTCATCTGCAGAAAGGAAGAGAGAAATAATATTTTCCTAGCTTGATATTCAATTCAAGAATCATTAAAAACAGGACCCTTGAGCATAGTAGAGATTAAAAATAGCAAAAGAATAGATTTTCAGTTTTCAGTGTAGAAATGAAACCACAATAAAAGACAGTTATTTTAAGACTTTTTACACAGGAGTTGTCTACATAATCTTTTCTGCTAATGAAAGAGTGCATTAAATCACTTTTGACCAGCTTAGGAGATAGAAAATTACTGTTTCTCAATTTAAAAATAGTCGTACCTCTAAATTCAAGCTGCCACTGTTGTAATAAGTTTTGCTTAATGGTGTCAACAAATTCTAGCAGCTCTAATTTGATCTGTCAATAAAATTTAAGTAAAAACTGCTTTTTAAAGATTTATAATATCGACCTTGTTGGCAGCGGCGTTGACGCTCGGTCTGGCATCAAAAATGAAAAGCTTATGGGACTGAGCATTAGCATCCATGATCGCCTGCAGGTATTTCTCATCCTCTTTGCTGCGCTTGCCATTCACTCCGACCATTGGCTGGCTGCAGCGCGTCACTGTGGCCTGGCTCTCTGGGTGGATCCATGACAGCACCTGCCACACCAAGGTCAGGAGAACATCAGCACCGTCGATGAGACGAAGTCATGAATGTTTGGGATGGATTGCTCACAGGTATTCTGCCTTTTGCTCTAAAAGCTGCCACTCTCTTCAGCTCTTCGTCTGGTATGTTGACCGGAACCACAAGAGTGGACGGGTATGTGTCACAGAGCTCAAAGTGGTCATTTACCTTCGTTATCCTCCAGCTTTCATTGGGTATACCCTGAGAATAAAAATACAAACATCTGTAAGAATGCTCGTAAGACAAAGCAAAACATTAAAGCTTGGTGCTCCTGGAATTACCTGTCTTTTATACTCTGATATGGGGTCATACACCTTCCATCCGTTTTCAGGAAAAACTTGCCCGTATTCAAAAGCAAAGATTTGCTGTGTAGTGAGGAGGAGAAATGAAGCAGTTGTGCAACATTAATGCGACAGCAGCAGTGAGTTGGAGAGCAACTCACCAGTCCGTTGGAAACAGGAAATGCAAATTTCATCAAAACTTCAAAAATCGACTTCTTGAGAGTGTCATCCAGCTGTTTGTGTGAAAATCGCAGAATGCGCATATCCTGCAAAATAGCAAATAGTCTGTCACCATGGCAAAAAATTAGCAAAAGTAGAAATGGAGGTTTTTAATAAGTGACGTATGATGAATCATCCGGTTTCATCTACATGTGAAACAACGGCAGGTATTCACCTTGCAAACTACTCCATATGACGAGTCAACACGGGTCGAACTATTTCCAATTTTTTCCACTCGACTTACAACTCCGAGAGGCAAATCCAGCATAAACGCCGGATCCTAGATATGAGCAACAAATTAACAAAATAATTCTTCAAACCACTAACGGCGTCTTCATCTTTAACTTGGTCCACACTCACCTTGTCCATGGACTTAAAGAAAAGCCTGTAGTTGGTGACCATCACTGTTCCTCTCAGTGCGCCAGTAAAAGGACAGAAGTAGGTAATGTCATGTGCTATTGAAAAAAAAAAAAAAAACAAGATCAAGCTCAATTATTCAAGAATTTTTCTCTTTAGTAATTTGAAAATAATAGTTTACTTTTAGTGCTAGCCCTTTAAGTCCCAAGCAAAAAATGAAATAAATTACCCATATCTTGCACAGTTTCATTCGGAAGCAACTGTGGTTCTTCTTTATCTGAGTCTCTATGCGCCTTCTACAAAACATCCAACATGCAAAGCAGTCATTACATCTCAAATATGTCTTTAATATTCACAGATTTATAGAAAATGTTTTAAATACCTACATAAATCATGGAGAACTAATGCAATGCTACATTAACTCTACAAGTTTCACTCAGAGTGTTGAAAGGTTGCTGATTTTGGCTCAGAAACTTATACAATAGCATACCTTTGCAGTGGCTTTAGGCTTCACCTGGGGGATGCATAAATGAGGAGAGTTATGCTTTAGTTATGAAAACTCATTTTTATCAAGCTGCAGAACATCAATGAGCTGAATGCAGGCAACTAACCCGGAGTTCAGGAGAAAACTCTGCAGATGTCGACACGGAGTCCGAGGACAAAACAGACGGAGGTTTGGCCTGGGCAGAGCGGTCGGAGCGAGAGGTGGAGGTGCTGAGAACAGATAAAACAAAGTCAGAGGACAAGAAAATGATTTAATCTTTCTACCTTTAACTTAGATTTATGTTTGACGATAAATTGATAGCTATTTATTGCAGCCAGCCTTATGCAGCTAATACCCCTTTTGCATTAGATTCATCTAGTTACTGCAGATCAATTGTGAGAAAGTTCAAAGCTATTAGACCCTAACAAGTCTTTCACATATTGTCAGATAACCTTGAACTTCAATTAATATTTTTGGATTGCTTTCCTGATCATGACATTTGGTGTTATCTATTGTGATTATGATAAAACTTTTTAAAAAAATTTTAACTGTATGGCTGTGCAATGCTGTTATTGTAAATTTATTTATAAATCAATATTCTTATCATGACAGGAAGAAATGTTCTGCAATAATACAATAAATGTCCATTTCTATCTCGCAAGTCAGCTTTTCCTGTATCTTACAGGTTCTGTGGTTCTCATAAATTCTCAAACGAAGCCTGTTTTTGCTGAAGGTTCCTTCCCACTGTCACCCCAAGCTTGTTCAGGATGAGGAATGCCTGCAAAGCAACTCTGTGAAATTTGCTGGAACCTTTAGTTTCGATTTGAATCATCGAGACTGCAGCTCTGGAAAGTATTGAATTATAATTAGAATAATTTTGCCCTGTATGCATTTGAATCCAATTTACACGAACCGAATAGAAATTAGGTCAATGTGTAACAGAATGCCCAACGCCCATATCTGTCTTACACACAGTTTGGATTTTAAACGCAATGTCTTACTTTATTGCGTCCGTGAGCTTTTACACCAGACAACCAGCTGAACTCTGAAACAGTAAGAAAAACGGATCCATCCAAGCCAAGCTCTTGTCCTATTTCAATGACATCTGTGATCGTCTTGTGACAGTTTAGGAGGCGGACTTAATTATAAGAGTTTAAACACTCACTACTAAAATTACACCTGTGACACTGGAGGACGAAAACGTTAAACACGTTTAAGAAGCCCCTATATTCATTAGTTCAGACTTTTACCCACATTTAAAAGCAGTAAGATGTGAAAGGTTCAGCTACCTGGACAATGAATCAACACTCGGCTGTCGGGAAGAGGGTTTCGAGCCCAAACTGTCGACGCTGCCGCTCTTCTCCATCTTCTCCTGCTTCAAAAGTTTAAGTAAAAGGTAGGACGAGCTCCGAAAACGTGATGTAGACCAGGCTTTCCGCTGAACACCGCCTTTAAATGCTCACTCCCAGCATAGCAAATCCTCACAAAAAGGAAGCTGCCATTTTTTCCCAGAAGCCTCCCAATCCCTGTCACAAACAGGATATGGTGAGGGACGGCGCCCTCTGTCGGTTATCTGCGGTATTAGCAGTTCATGGGATACTTATTACAAAAATTATTTTTATTACATGCAACTAGAAAGAAATAAAAGGTTAAGGACATTCACTGAGAGATTCTATTTATAAATAATATGGTGAAGTTGCCACATTACAACTTATTTTTAGGTAGTTTAATGCTGATGGTCATGAAATAAAATTTGAAGAGAAACATGTATTCCAATTAATCCCTTTATTCCGATACCCCGAATGTATCAATTTTTACTAAGGGACAAAATGCATTTCTAACAAATATTTTACCATAAAAAGACATGTAGAATTATTTTCTATGGGAAAGATTTTAAATTTCACTTGTTTGACATTCACTGAGAACTACATTTGAAGAGACATTTCATAGGAAAAATACTGTGAGGCAAGTCATTGTTTATTGAAATAAAAAAATAAACCACAGAAATAAATGTTAAATCACATTTCAAAATGTTTTCACAAAATTTAAACAAAGGATGCAACTCATTTATATACAGCCATTTACCTGTTTACTCTGCAAAGTCTAATGAATTTCAATGGGAGCAGATGCTGTCAACCATTTGAGGGTTCTAGACCAAAAGCGATAAAAATGATCCAATAAAGCACAGAGCAAGTCCTTTACTTTACATATTTTTCCATAAACTTCTTGTGGAACTCTGAGCGCAGCGTATCGTTGACGAAGCGTTTCTCTTTCCGTGCCTCATCCACTCCTTTGGCACAATTTTTAAACACAACATCATCGTCCCACCTAAAGAGATGTTACATGAGAAGGTTACTGGTGGTGATAAACAACACACACACTCTCACAAATGCTTTCTGTCTGAGAAATGTACCTCCTTTTGACTCTAAATGTATTTTGAGCTTGATTCTGTTGCTGCTGGCCAGCCAAATTAATCAGGGGATTGCCACTCAAGATATTTTCCATTCGAATCCTCTCTTCTTCTGCCTTCTGCTCTCGCTCCTGAAGTGGAAAACAAAGAATAAATACATAGATAAAGGAACAAAGCGACATCATTCAGCTCCTTTCTAACATTTAATAACTGCACATCCATTTCAACAATAAGCAGAAACACAAGTGTTCAGTCGTTACTTTGCGTTCTTGCTCCTCAGCTCGCTCTTTCTTGATCTTGTCCAGTTCAGCCAGGAGGGCGGCAGTGTCGTCATCGTCACTTTCTTCCTCAGAGTCTTCATCTTCATCATCCTTAGAAGGATGAAGAGAGAATGAGATGGGGAGTCCAATGAGAGTTTTAAAGAGGATGAATAAAGTTAGCAGTAAGGTTCACGAATATAGCACCGTTAGTTGTTCAAATGAACTTTGTTTATTGTGAGGAGAATTTTGATTTGTTGTGAAACCAATAAACTACAAACACCAAAAACGTATTGTTTTTTTTTGCTATATTTTCTAGGGGTGATTGCACAAGTAGTACAAAATGTAACAATACCTTCAGAACCATGATTTAATGCAGTTATGTTGTGCTGTTTAATGATACAATTGCGTGAGCGATGTCCTGACATACACTATTTAATAATCAGTAAGTTATCATTAGTGAACTTTTGTTTTATTCAACGCTTTGACATGCACACAATGTAATATATTACCAAAAAGCAATATAGTAATTTCTAAATATGACTTATAATCAATTTTACCGGATAAATACAACAAAACATTGAAAGAAACGTTTATGTCCATATTGAACATCGTGTGTCCGAACTTACGTCAGTCAGAGGGTCATCAGCATCAAGGTTTGCTGCTGGGATTTGATCCAGTCTGGGCCTCTTTGAAGATGATGAAGAGGATGATGATGAGGATGTGGTGTGTTCTGGAAAACACCCATGCATAAAAAAAATTGAATAATTAGGAACTGTGTCAGAAATATAACCTAAGAATATTTTTATTTTCAAACAAAAACCTCTGGGTCCCCTCTCTCTGGTCTTGTCACGGGAAGCGACACGTTCCCTCTCCTCCAGCTCCCTGCGGAAGTCACGGGCACGCACCTCCTCTGGGGCATCCTGGGTGGGTTGCCTGAGCACCAGACAGCATTTATTGTAGGACAAAAGAAGAAAAAAAAACAGCTAAAAATAACTTATAATGAGTCAAAACTGTAATCTTCTCCAAATGCACACCCATCAGAGAAAGCAAATATTTGCTCATTATCCCTGAGGATTTTGCTCTAGCTGTCATGATCGAGGGGGTAGTTTGGGATTGAGTAATGAATCCAGAACTCTACCAGTCAGACTTGCTTCAATTAAATTCAAGCAAGTCAATTAAGCCATCAACAAATCCCAACATTCAACAAAGCATGCTTGTTTAAGCTCTTATTTTCAACATTTACTCTATTTTTTCCCTTTTTTTTGACACGCACTTATGATCTTTGCATCATTTGAAATGTCTATTAATTCTATTTCATATAAAACCAATTCTTTTCTCAATCTCCTATGAAAAAACATAAAATCTACTTTCATGAAAATTTTAATTCGCCCTTATATTCGATGTACAGACCTGTACTTAATCTTTGTATGACCTGGAAGATCTCGGCTGGAATACTGCTTGGAAAGAGCACTCAGATCTCCCTCTCCTTTCCCCCTGCCTCCTCTCGCAGGCTCAAATGTTGGTCTTGCAGCTGTAGTCATCTTGGACGCCTCTGTTTTATTAAAACGTAACACATTAAATAATACATCTGGTGGGAAAACAAGGCATTAGTTTTGTCTTAAAGTATTTCACGTCATCGTTGGAATATTCAACGCAGAATACATTGTTTGTTAGGCTTAGTCTAAGTGTAATTAGACAGTCCTACTAAATTATCAACAGACGTTAAAGACAAAGTTAGCATGTTAAGCTAGAAATGCTAAATACCTGCCTACAGGCTAACTTGGTTCAACGCGCTTGTCTCGTCAACTGTGTATCATAAATGTTCCGCTCCAAGTGAGTGAAAGTATAATATTCTTTTAAATAACAAGCTGTGTAAATTCTTACTCTCTATATGAGATACATGGTTATAGGAAGGCTTTTTCCAAAGACTCAATACTGACCAGGCTGCTAGCACACGACAAAAGACAAGCTTCTCGACTCCGCATGACGTCATTTCCGGAACAAACATCAAAAAGGAAAAGATGCGTTTATAGAACTCGGACAAAATATACATTGTGATCTTGGTACGAAATAGCATAATCATAACTTATTTTATTTTGTGATTCTGGTACGAAATAGCATAATCATAACTTATTTTATTTTTTTTCACTTCCAAACAATTTTATTTGCAAAATATAAGCAGATAAAAACGACTTACTTGTCTACTTTAATGTGTTGGCTTTAGAAAGACGTGTAGTGTTATGGAAGAGACGCTAGAGGGCAGGTATTGGCAGAAAATGTATAAACCCTGAAACCTGTGTTGTCATTTACTGCCAAGCTGTTTGTAGTGTTCATATGCAAATGTTCGCCTGGCACAAAAACACATTTTTTGAAACATTCTGCCTAAAGAACCACAACTTATTTGAACACTAGGACATAATCATCACGCCAGAAAGCAAATATTTCTAGATCAAAATTGCAAAAACCATTGCATTTCAATTCTTAGATGTACAAATTATTGTCATAAAAAGTGAAGCACAAAAGCTGTCACTGATTTTGAGAAGAAATGAATTTTTTCTTTGATGAAAGAACTGAAATATCAAAGCGTTTAACTAAAATCTGTGTTTCATACAAATATTATGAATATTGTAACCATTACCCTAAATAGCAATATAGTATTTATATCGCTATTAACCCCAAATTATTCTTCAAAAAGGAAATGCCGCAGAACTTTTCAACTTATAATTAAATTGCTATGTGCGAATCTGAAATGCAATATAACTCCTCAATTGTTTTTTCTTTTTTTTCCACTGACTTTGTAGTACCTCTTTCTTAAAATAAAATAAAATAAAATATTTATTAGGGTTTACTTTTTTCCCCGCTACAAAAGTTTCTAACTAAGTTTTTACATTTGTTGAGCTGAACATGTATTTGTTTTTGGCTGTGCAGTTTATCAAGTGAGAATTTCCCACCATCATGACAAGATGGTTTAGACAATGTGGATCCAAGGAAACCCTAAATTATTCTTTATACTGCTTAATGAAAGGTGAAATAAATTTTAAAAAGCAATTATTGACATAATGCTTTTTGGATAACATCAAAAAGAAAAGACAGAGGGAAAGGTGGAAAGAAGGATACAAGGAAAAAGGGAGCAAGACATGAAATGTAAGGTAAGAAGGGAACAACACAACATTTAGAAAATGTAACAGGGAATAGGATATGAAGCTACAAATATTCTTCTACACTTATTCACCCATGGAAAACAGTGAAACGAGAGATTAAACCAGGATGTGTGCTCTTTTTGGATATAAATTGGCATACACAGGTTCATTCAAGTTTAGTAAGATGCTTGGCAACAAAGATCCCTGCGTGTCATTTGCACTTGAATGCCATTGAGTGAAAATGATAATGCAAGTGTCCAATAAGGAAACTAATCATAGTTTCAGTAGTTTCAAATCAGGTTTTTTCTGATTCCTGAAATCTTGTTCAGTAGAACGGTATGTTTTGCCACCAACGTTTTGCTGTAAAACCAGAAGAAAAACAAAAGCAAACCTCTTCCTTATTGAACGTAATATAGCGATGACGGGTTTACAGCTTGTGGTTTATTTTTTCGCAGTAAAGTCAGTGAGTAAAGCTGTCAACCAGAACTACATTCCTGCAGTGATTTAAAACATTTACAGATTCTCCCACAGCTGCGATGATGAATGATAAGCCGTGCTTACTTTTTCTTATCAAGAAAGAAAAATCTTAATGGATAACATCTCTGGAATGCGGCTTTTAAAACACAAACTAGAAAGAGTAAAAAAAAAAAAAAAAAGATCCTCCTCTCCAACATCCAACCCCAGAAGCCTAAACGCTCTCAGGGGGTGGAATCTGAAATGACAGGTTGTGGGTGGGGAGGTGGGAGTCAAAGTATCACTATCAATCTGCCACAAGGACACAGAGGAGGCTCGACAACTCAGCTGACTCAAACAGGTGAGCGCACATCCTAACCCAAGAACTTGGCCTTTTTCACAGTGGATCTGGTCTCGTTTCTCTGACTTGTTTGCACGGCCAGACCTCATTACAAAGTCTAAATTGGCTTAATTTTCAATGCATAGCAAATTTGACCTGGTTAACTGGTGCTGGCAGATCCTTATTTAGATTCATTATAAGAGATTAAAAACGAAGCACAGGTCAAAATGTTAACAGCGCCTCAGAGGGAAGACAGAGAAGATGTGACAAGATCTGATAATGTAAATAAAGGCCAAGGTCGATATCTGAGAGCATATAGTAAACAAGATCATACACTTGTTTATGTCAAGTTGAAGTTAGGGTGAAACTTGTTAAATAGCAATTAGTTGTTTCTTTCAATGCAGGCTGACTTTTTACAAGTTGCGGCTCGTTAATCAGCTCAGGATAAGCGGACAGGAAGAGAGAACACAAGGTTGAGTTAATTTAATCTCACTCATCATAAGAAAATCTCCTCAGGTCGAACGTCAAAGAAACATCATGTCAAAAGGCAAGTTGCTCAACGTTTGGGAAAGTTTTTTTTTTTAGACAAATTATAAATATTTGCTATTATTGAGTATTATGCTTTGTATCTTTTAGACATAGACAGAAATCAGGTGTTGCAAAACATCAGGGTGCGAAACGCAGCCAAGAACGACAGCTGGTGGATCCGCAGTTCTAACAATGACAAGTGAGTAAAGTTAAACCAGTTATTTGCTGCTAGGCTGCAGGATAACTGAGCAGGCAACAAGATGGTTAACTTGTCCAACTTTGTAAAAGAAGTTGTAGAAATGATATGTCAGAATAATAACAAAAACTTCTCCTCTCCCTTAGGAAAGTTTCTGAAGCGAAACAGGAACCTGCTCCAGGGACATCATTCATCCAGTTAAGGATCGACAAATTCCAGTGAGTAACGCAAAAGCCGCTCAGTTATTGCTAAAGATTTGATCCCATCAGCTTATTTTAAAAATAATACCACATGTAAAACATCTACCCAACTTATTTAACAAAAAGTTACTCAAAGTATTAGACTGAATGTCCAGTAAATTAGTAAATTTTTCTTCCACTTAATGTCTCATGAACATTTCTAGATACTGCAATTTGCAAAAAAAAAAAAAAACTGCTTCTTGTTCTGTTGCTCAAGTTGAACTTGTTCTTCCAAGCGTTGCATCACCCTAAAGTAATTAAAGTATTCCAGGCATCTCAGACTTTAACGTACATAAACATTAACTTTGTCCATCAGCTGCTTCCCTCCAGGCCTACAGTGTGAAAGTGACCTGGACTTTTAATTACTTCACATTGAGATAAATATATACTGAATCATTTTCTATCCTTAGGGAAAACCCATTTGCACAGAATAAGCAACAAAATAATTCTTCTTAAAGCCTAAAAGATAAATCATTGATTATTATTGTCAATCCTTTACCAACCTTGAATACTGAGTGAGCACTGCAGTTTAAATACTTAACCAAAAAGCCTCGGTTCAGAGTGATTGTGTGTTTATAATACAGAAATTCACAGCAGAAATGACGAGTTTTTTTTACATGTATATGTGACCTTTCTCACAGCAACTCTGCTTTTTGACGTGGTGTGAATAAGATAAATTATTTTAGCACCAATTCTCGTGTCAAGGTGAGATCCACAGAGTCCCTACAAGGTTTACTGATGTTTATATAGAGGGTATATATGTAGAAAGCTGCACATTATTATTTTTATTTAAGGAAAAGGCTAACAAAGCCTTTTATAATACTCAGAAGTTTTTATTTTGCTAAATTTTGGCAAGTGGGTTCACACAAGCACAGGTAAATATATTTAAAAAAAACATTTTATTTAAATTGTCTTCCTGAGATCATGCTATTGGCTCCATCCTTCTGTGGTGATAGTAAATAGAGCATGCAGTGTTCGGATACATTCATTTAAAACACTTAAATTAAGAACAAAACACTAGTAAATTTCACTTGGAGAAAAAAATAACTCTGAAAAGTTGCATTTGATAACTCTCAAATAGCCATCCTGTTTGGTCTGCTCTTCCTCTGGTGACAAGGATGAGCTGGATTATTTTATACCGCGTCATGTGTTGTGTTGTTGTCACCGCATCCGTGCAGCCTGAGCCGTGGCAGCACCAGCCTGAACGGTTGCATTCAGAGAGAGGAGACTTGAAGATCTGCTTGACCAGCCCGCCCACTGACAGCTGAAGAGGCTGCATCTGTAATTATGACTGCAGACGTGGGATGGCACATCTGTCAGCGCGGCTGCAGCCACTGCAGAGTTTTAGTTGCTAAATAACTGGCTGTGACACGTTAAGTTATACCAGTTGGGATATGAAACAGCCAACAGCTACGTTTCTGAAGTGGACGTTTGGCCTACTGTTGCTTTGTTTAGAAGCTTTTTGAAACATGTTGGAGGCTCTGTGTGTTTATGCATTTTAAATTTAAATAGTAGTAAAAAAAAAAAAAAAAAAACCCAGAAGAATCGGGGACCATGAGGAGAAAAACACTGGATAACAAGACTTTCTCTGCTTTTAGGCCGCATTTATTGGCACCTCTGGTACAGATTAATAGAAATAGATTCCTTAAATATAATGATGTAATATGACTTCATCTATTGAGTGGGAGAGACAAAATTCACAGAGGGCCACAATTACTGGCACCCATGCTGTTAACACTTTTTACCTCATCTTTTACCAACAGAGAAACACTGAGCCTTCTCCCACAATATCTTCCCTTAAACTTACATTATGGATAAGATTCACACTAGGAAAAGAAATGTGTGCTGAGAAATTTTTTGTGTTGGTTTGGTTTTGCACTGCAAAAACAAGAATGTTTTTTATCCAGTTTCTAACGCAAATATCTTGGTATTCTCGAAATAAGACAAAATGAACTTATAATAACTTTTCAGCACAAAACATGAGCTTGTTTTAAGTCGATAATTCATTTGAATTGATTTAAAAGTACTAGCTAGAAGTGAAATAATCTGCTGGGGGAGCAAGACATTTTAACCTATGATATGGGAAGCTTTTTAAAAAAGCTAATATTTCTTGCTGAAACGTTACTTGTAAGTTAGTTTTGTCTTATTTCAATTGTACTAAGATATTTGCAATAAAAACATGACTAGGTCTGGTATTTTTGGTGTTTTACAACATATTGTAAAATACCCAATGATGACGATTTTTAAGTGTTTTTGATGCTACAAACTCTGACAAGATTTTCAAGCCCTTTGAAAGTGAAAATGACCCACAGAATGACAGATCCTCTGCCGTGTAGGCTCAGTCTTAGTCTCATCTGAAAAAAGCACAACTCCCAGCAGTTTATGTTTTTGATAGAAGGACAGAAAAGGCTTTTTCTTGCAAGCATGCAAGCAATCGGCTTGTCATGGAGACTCTGTGACCTTAAAATGTCACTCTTTGCCGCAGTTCTCTTACAGTAATGCACGACAGCTGCAGTGTTTCTTGGCTTATGAAGAATGCTGTCACATCTATTGCACTGTGTCACATACAAGCAACAAAACCTAAATAAAGATATTAAATTCAAAATTATTTGTTAGAGGTTCAAAGAATTGCTGCACCAGTCATTTTGTTGAAAATGGCCAATTTTTGATGAGGTAAGGGAATCTATTCTGATTAAAATGATTTTCTTAGTTATGCCACTCCTGTAAAAATGTATCTATTTAAGGTTTTTGTTTTTATAGTTTTCCAAAAGGCGGCAATAAATGTGGCCCACACTGTATTGTCCCAATTTACCTTAACCAGCTGGAAGGTAAAGTAGTAAAGCATTGTAAGAAAGGTATTGAACACAATGCAGGAAACTAATTAAATATCAACACATCCCTTTATTCTGGCCGGTGGATAAACAGAGCGTCCTGCACGGAAGCAGTGGGGTGGGTGCGGCGAGATGTCCCCACAGGACTACAAACTCACTCGGCATCTTAATGAGCGGGACTAGTCTGAGTTGATTGGGTTTGGCTGAATAATGCGACCAGTCACGGTTTCCTCAGGAGAACCGACCCCGCTCACCTCAAAGGTACAGACAGTTTGATGAATTGGTAATGAGCTAGGAGGAGGGTCCAGGTGCTGCGAGCTCCGCTGCAGAGTGCATGCCTTCTGCCGAGTTTAACAAGGAGTCGCCAGCAGCGGGGTCGATGTTGTGTGAAGGCATTAAATGAACCTCATTAAGTGCGTAGTGGTTAAGCGGAAAAATGCCACATTTCCTAAAACCTTCCTTCACAATCCGGACACCTTCCTCTTCCTTTGCTATCTGATAAGTTCTGTTTAACACCTCCGAGAACTCCTTCTTGCTGACGGCGAAGTGGCCTTCGGCGCCGCCGTCGGCGTCCCCTGTGAGTGAAGCGAAACGCTGCTTCAGGACCACGAAGAGGCTGGCGTCGAGCGGCTGCAGCATGTGTGAGCAATGGGGAGGCAGGCAAAGGAGGATGACCCCCTCTTTCTGAGCCGACTCCACCACCTCCAGGCTCACCGGCGACTTGTGGCCGTCGAAGATCAGCAGCAGAGGACGTTCCTTTGCTGCATGAAGGAGAAAATGTTTGAGGAACCACTTCTTAAAGAGCTCTGAGTTGACGTAGCCAGATTCCGACCACCCGTAGAGGGCATTAGGCGGGCCTTGCGTCTTGTAGCACACGCCTCCTGGATAGGCCTTGGAGTAGATAACAAATGGAGGAATGTCTTCTCCAGCTGCGTTGAAGCAAGCCAGGACAGAGACGTGGTCCCTGGAGCTTGGCGCTGGCTTGTAGCCCAGACTCGTGGGCTTGGAGAAGACGGCCTTCCTCCTGCTCAGTTGGTAGCCCATCTCGCTACAGTTGTAGATCTGGCTCGGCGAGTCTCTGAGCCCGTGTGTGTCTGTGACCGTGCTCAACAGACGAAAGAACTGATCCACCGCTTCCTTCCTGACACACACTGTTCTCCCACGCACAACATTGTCTGCTGGCTGAATAGCAATGTTCTTTTCTTGCCTTTTTCTAAAATTGAGCCACCACGTCTGGCCCAGTTTGGAAAATGCCACCCTCCGGTGCTGCCGCTTATAAATGGACGATGCGAAGGACACTACCTGCTGCTTGGTAAGTGGGAATCCATGCTTGGACATGTATAAGGAGAACTCCACCAGCAGCTTCTCGTCTGCGGAGGTGATGAGCCGAGCTGGCCCGCTGCGGCTCCCCGGTGTCACCCGTCCACTCACTCTGTCTCCAAGCGAGGACTTGGGGACGCCAAACTCCTTGGCCGCCTGCCTCACTGTGCACCTCCCAGACTTCACCTCTATCAGCGCTTGCTCCATGGCCTCCTCCGTCCATTTCTTCTTTTTCTTGCGCCCAACTTTGTCAAGATGGTTTCTGGATGGCATTTTCTTCTAAACAGACAGGCAGAGGAAATTCATGCTTTAAAGATTCACTTCAAATCTGTGAACTAACCAATATAAACATCACTTAATACACTAAGAAATTTCACAATTTGATATTTAAGCAGGTTTTTCCCCTTTGTATAATAAGCCTGGCGGGCCACCAGACTTTACTTGTTCCCCTACCAGGCTATTTAGTTATTTATTTAAGTATTTTTAAAATGTTTGCATTTTTTCAAGGATTTATAGCTGATGTTCAGTTATTAATCTTCCAATCTTTCAATAACACATAATTATCGAGCTATGTTTTCAAATTTTCTGTCAAATTTAAAAATATTTTAACTTAACAAAACGACGGGCCTCTGGATGAATGTCTGTCATGGGCACCTTGTTTAAGATGATTCATATTAAATACTTTAATTCTTTCTCTTATTATTATTATCATTACCAAAAATAACAGTAATGAAGAATCTTATCTCTTACTATTTTCACAAACCTTTTTAAGAAACGGGAACAGGTTTGGACTGTGTGAGGGTAACAAAGTGGCTTAAGGATCAATTTCAAACCTATTCTTCTTCACTAATTATTTTATTGTGTGTTGACAGATCACTTCATCTCTTGAGCTCAGGAGCCTTTTTATGTCTGAATAATTCATAGGTGAGAGCTAAGTGACTCACCAAACAAACTAGGGCTGCACAAAATTAGGAAAACATTATGGTAATATTGTTGAAAAGTGGAAAGAGAATATCCATTGCAGTTACCCTCCTTCTCTTCCTATGATGTTCCTATCACTTTTCATATGCTTCAGCAGCTCGGTTACTTCCACACTAAAGTAGAACAATCCATCAAATATTCAATTCAACAGAAATATTCACATACCAATGTCTTATCTGGTGGGATTTTTTATTAGTTATTTCTGTAAAAGAGAGCAATTTAAATAGATGAACATCACAATTAACCCTGTAGCACTGATTGGACAAAAGGAAAAATATATTTTCTGTAACAGTAGAAATGTTAGGACACCCACCTTACAGTTTCAGTTTGAAATAACTTCAGTGAGAACCACCAATCAGTCTCTGACATCAGTCTGTGGAAAGTTTGCTCCATTCCTCCCTTTCAGTGATTAGTTTACGAGGTTCTGGCTTGTCACAATCACCCATCAGCTTCTCTGAGATTATTATCTGAGTTCGATTTTGCCCAGGACTTTTCATTTTCTGACTCTGAACTAAACCTTGGAGGAGTTGCTTATACATTTTGGGTTATTGTCATGTTCCAAGGTCCAGATCGGCTTCTTCCTAAAGTTTTTCTCACATTTCTTGAGAGGACCCACTGATGCAATGAAGAACTTATGGTTAACTATGTGCTGGCTAGCTGCTGGGTCTAATTGCAGCAAAGCATCCCCATACTTCTAACCTTTAACTGGTTTATGCCAAACCTGTCCTCCGTTCTGGTGCCCAAATAATTCAGTTTTTTTGTTTTTTTTTTACAGAAACCCTGGTCTGTGTCTAAATTTCAGGCAGGGTTTTGCTTTCTTAAAGGCAGCAAGTTTCCCCTGCAAATCTCTCATGTTCACTATTTTTATTGAACATGGGAACTATCTTTATTTTATAACACCAAATGTTTTTAATTATAAAAGCTATAAGAAAGGCTGGTTTCATCATTGTTGTGTCTAAATATAATATATACAACAGGGGACCAATAGTAATGTTCCATATTTATGAAAAGGGCTCACTCATTCTTCAAAAGTTTCCTTTTGTAAAATTTAAAAGATTCATTTAGTTTAAAAGGATGAAACAGAAGTACCCGTTGGTGTAATTTATTTAGTTTTTGAACTTAAACATTTAATTTAGTTCAAGTTTATGAAATATCTATTTTTGTGGCACTACACATTTTATTTTGAAGGAGCGGAAGCAACACTGGCTCTGACGAACTGAAAGGGTTGCTGTCTACTTCACGGAGGTCGGAACACGGAAATGTCTTTTCTGATCTTCTGTTTTCAAGACAGAAATTAAACTTTATACGTTCTAAATTGGGTTTAAAAATATTTAAATGTGGTCTAATTGCATGTTGTTGTTTTTTTGACGATATATATTGCATAGTAGCGACAAAATCGTTTCTCCTTAACTTTTAAGATCCTGAAAGCATCCAAATGCACCATGCAGAGACTCCAATGAGATTCATGAAGGAGAGGTTCAACATTTGAAGTTATATTGCGTTATATATATCTTTTCTGCTACAGAGAGGTCTTCTTGCGACTCCAAAATTGTCAAGGCGTACCTACGGGCCAGGAAAGATCCTCGTAGTATTCCTATCTGAAGGTAGTTTCTCCTGTGTCGGTTTCTCCGTAATGAAACGTGAACGCTGCTGTTCGTGAAGTGCGATGCTGTGCAGTCTGAAGGCTTCTGAGGTGGTTTTGAAGTTGACAACATAATAGTTACGGTTTGTTCATTCAATACTAACCACTATTTCATCTCCCGGCTCCAGAAACACAGTAAATTATACATTATAGAGCAGAAGTGGAGCCATTTCGCCTTCCCCTCGCTTAAGGCTGCTACAGCAAGGAGCGCAACCGGAAATAAAGTTGGGTTAATTTCAAAACAAAAGCATTAAAGCGACCATTACCAAAATAAGTGCCCAAAACTTCAGAAATTAAAAAGTAAAATCAATAGGAAAATACTTTCAAATTCAGAGTTTATTTTGTTAAGTTTTTAAAGCTATATAATTAGGTTGGATATTGATTATATTTTATGTAATTATTTAGAAGATTTAACATAAAACTTTAGATTTATTACATATTTACGTTCTACTCCTTTTCAAAAAATTTTAATTGCGTTTTTATTTCAGATGTTTTTAAACCATTATTTTATTAATTAAGCTTTTCTCACACGCACTTTGTCACATGAATAAAACAGATTTTTAATGTCTGTTTTATTGCTCTTATTTTTGAAATGCAACTTAAACAACTCTTGTTTAAATTGATTTATATTTAACATAGAACATTAAAGCACACAAGCTAATAAACTTGAGCAGGTGATAAAATGGTTTCTATATGTACAATGTTTTTTAATCCAGTAATAGAAAATTGGTGATAATCAATATGGCGATTGAAATTTTTTGGGTGCAATCCAGGTTTTACTCAATTTCTTTTGGCTGTAAATAAATAATTTAGTTTTGTGTATTCTTTTACCTTTCTGTCCAGCTTTGCATTTTGTTGGAGACTGTCTTATTGTATAGGCTCTAGAGTGTCCAGCATATTGATTTATTGATTCACCATGTTTGCATGTCTCAGTTGACTGTTAAAAAGCATCATTAAATGAGACACTTTTCCGCTGTCTTCTGATATATTGTTACATAAAGAGTAAGCCATTTACTCCTGTGACTTTATGATGCTTTGTCCGCGTTTCGTTCAAGCCTTATATCTATAGTGGGAACTGCTACTCATTTAACAGTCTCCTCTCCTGTTCCACAACGTGTCCTGTGAGAATTAAGCTGTGAACAAACACAGCGTTGATATTTAAAGCAGAATTTATTAGTTATGGAGCTCATATACTCACTGTGTTTGTCTCCCAGAGCAGGCATATTTCTTTTGCAAATATATATCAGTACTTGGCTTATATTTTAAAAAAGACTACATTATGTTCTGAAACCCCAACAAAAGCATAAAAAAGTCCACTGTATCTGACAGTAGAACCTTTAAATGTGACTGCATGTTTTGAGTTGGTCTGAACTTCTTAGAAATGTTCCAGAGATTCGTAATATGAGGTTTTAAGTGACAAAGTTCACCTTCAGTTGTGTTTTTTACTCTGACCTTTGAACATCAGACAGCGTACCGTATGTGTTGAATTTTAATTCAGAACAAGCTGTGCAATTTGAGTCGGTTCCCTTCGTGCATCTACAAAATCATGTTTTAACCCTTTAACTACCACACCAAGAAAAAAACCTGTGAAAATTTTTTTCTTTGCATTTCTTTTACCCTTGGGTGACTCATAAACACAATCAATATTTTTTTTTTCAACAGACCCTGTGGTTTTTAAAATATTGATCTCTACCAAACGGTTGAGATGTCACTTAAAGGTTTAAGTACATGATGTAATAAAATACCTAGTACAGTAGATAAATTAAAATAAAATGCAAATTTATAAAGAAATTAACAACAACAAAATGTCTGGGGCATTGGATACAGTTTATGTTTGTCAAAATGCTACACAACACTGGTTTTAACTTCAACCAAGGAAAACATTGCATCGAACAAGGAAATATTGCATTTTTAGTTTTCCCATCTTGATTGTATCTGTACTAAAGTGCAACAGTTTTTCAGTGTTTCACTGTTGAAAAGGGCATGATCCCATAGGCTTTAATAAGCAAGTTGACCCATTTGTTATCCAACCACTTCACTGGAAGAACCCCTTCAGCAGCCCTAAAATCACAGGCCCCAAGCCCCCTTTGAATCAGGACTTTGTCATGAATGGAGCTCCACCAGTGCAGTTCGGTCATACGGTGCCGATGCACTTGATGCTAAGGGCAGTTTGCAGGTACTGAACCAAGTTGAAACTTGTAAAGAAGTTGTCACAAAAGACAACAGACATCTGGGGCTTTTTATCGTTTTGCAGAGTGTTGGCACCACTTTTGCTCCCAAAGGAAGAAATTATTACAAAAATTATTTTGTAAGATGATGTTATACAGCAAGAAGGTCCTGGGTTCGATTCCCGGCCCGGGGTCTTTCTGCACGGAGTGTGCATGTTCTCCCTGTGCATGCTGGGTTCTCTCCGGGTTCTCCGGCTTCCTCCCACAGTCCAAAAACATGACTGTCAGGTTGATTGGGCTTTCCAGATTCTCCTTAGGTGTGAATGTGTGTGCATGGTTGTTTCTCCTGTTTCTCTTTGTGTTGCCTGCCCTGCGACAGACTGGCGACCTGTCCAGGGTGAACCCCGCCTCTCGCCTGAACGCAGCTGGAGATAAGCACCAGCACCTCCGACCCCGTTAGGGAGAAGGGTGGCCAGAAAATGGATGGATGGATGATGTTATAATTATTCTTAGTGTATAACATTGTAATAACACTTATTGTTTCCTATTTACACCAATAAATGAAAATGACTTTTGATTTTATAGCAAAAAAAAAAAAAGTTAACTAAATTACCTTGATTTGCTACATTTACCATCAAGTGACAAATCAACCGTTTGGTCAAGCATATTTTGAAAAAATTATTAGACCTTTAATTTAGCTTTTTAGGTGTTATCAAGTAACATAATTCTGTTTAGTAAGGTCTATAACACTATCATATGCCAGAAAACTATTCCTGCCTTTCAAAGTTTTACCACAACCAGTCAATATTTGTGACAGATTTTTTGTGTTTCTGACTTCCTGGTTGGAGAGGGGAAGAAGAAGATACTATTTAAAGAAACAATGCCCTGTAGTGGATTTCTTTAGCATATCATACCTCAACCAAGCGGCAGAGATGGCTCAATCAGGTTAAGCTAAGTTAGGCACTCCTCATATGGAGATACAGAGACCCAAAATGTGCTAAACCATATGGTTGAGCGGGCAGTTAAGGGATGATCAGAATTCTTTGGATGAAGTTCTAGAAAAGATGTGAAATAATATATTACCTGCAGTAAAGATCTTTCTGCATAATCCAGATTTGTCATCTTCTTTTGTTCACAAAGGAAGATGCTTGATGGTTCGCCTCCTATTATAAATTTCTGTTTAAATAGTTAGTTATTTCTATACAGATAATCCCCCAATGTAGATGTGAAAATCATTTAAGTTTGCCTACCGGTAATTGCTTTTCCAAAAACCTCCATGATGCTTTTTTCAGATTTGAGCTAAGATGATGAAATTCTGCTTTTACTTTGCTTCTCTCTATCAGCTGTAATCCAAACTCCCAGTGTACTGAACTTTAAAATAAGGTTCCAGGTTTCTCAGCTTTTACTTTTACTGTAAATGTCATTGATTCTATCAGATGAATTTTTAAAAAGTTGTCTTTTGACTTTTTGTTGTAGGCATCCAGCTAATCAGACAAACAATGAAGCTGATACTATTAAACCTGATGATTCAATTGAGGAAGCAAGAAAAAATACCACGACAAATACAAAGTTAGTATAGAACATCCTGTTTTTAACTGTTTGCAAAAATACTGTAGATCTACTGTACATGAAGTGTTCTCTTAATAATAAATAAATATCATGCTATGTTACAGATGCCAATCACCACCCAAACAGGCAGAAGAGCAACTGCCAGTCACAAACACAAACAATGAAAAGAAGGAGGTGGATTTAAACGCACCAGCTGGCGAGTCCAATGTGGAGCAGAACGGGGGAGATGTTAAGGTCTCTGCAGATGTAAATAATGAAGAACAAATCCAACCAGTTTCTTCAGCAAATAGTAACGTTGATGCAGCAGAACTACCACCCGCCCATAAAATTGCAGAAGTCGAAGAACAAAACCCTGACACTGATCCTACAAATGTAGATTATCAGGTTTCCAGTGATCTTCAGGTGAAATCAGGTACCACAGGCTCTGCAGAGATTTCTGCGCCACCTCCAGAAGCGTTGATCAAAACAGACACAGGTAGTTTGGAGGATGGAGGGGAGACAGCATCCACGCAAATTACAGAGGAAAGTCGAGAGAAATCCCTGCCAACTGCAGAAGAATTTGTTCCCGCTGCCTCTCCATTTATTGTGAAGGAGAACACTGTTACGCCAGATGAAGACATTCCTCCTCAAGTCAGCGTGGAACCTGACCTGCAGTTTGAATCTGTAAGCAAGTCACCTGCTCAGCCTGGAAATGAAACACCTGCAGAGGCCAGTTGTGAAAAACATCCCCCAGAGCAAGTTGACAATGAGACTGTTGAAGCTGAGGTTGAGGCGGAGGTGGAAACCCCCGACGTGGATAATGCAACACCCCGTGAGGAAGCTCCTTCACTTAACAGTGTGCAACAAGTCGCCTGTACTCTACCTGAATCACACGATGAAATCCAGGCAGTTGACAATGTTGTTGTTGAACAGAGTGTTGAGCCTTCATTTGGAGATGAAGTAGATTCCATGGATTTGAACATTGAAGATGGTCTTAAACCCATGCAGTCTGCAGATCCTGGCGCTGTTCAGGATAGTACAGATTACAGCCTCATTAATCTGACAGATGCCCTGCATGTGGAGGCACCCCAAAAAGAATCTGTTCCTAAAACTGAAGCTCGAGAACAGCCTCTTCAGGAGGAACCTATTCCCCGGCCTGACGATGCTAGAGAGTAAGCATGCTTTCACAAGCAGTAGACACATGACAATAAAACACTTCATATTTATTGATTCATTTATTTTTTTAATATATAGTTATGGAGGCCTTCAGAAACCTGCAGAAGTACTAAATTCAACCCCAATGTCTAAAATATCCAGGTAGGTCATGTCGCATCTCCAAGCATTCGCATGGTTTGGTATTTCTTATAGTAAAATATGAGGTGTTAAATGTATTTAAAGTGTAATTAACACTGGAAGCTTTACATTGCGAGGTAATTCAGTGTTTTCACATTTATTTTAGTGATGGAACCCCTTTTTGCACTTACTGCAACAAAATAATCGATGGGAATGTGAAGATCACTTTGAGCGAACCACCCATAGTGTGCCATGAAGAATGCCTCAAGGTTTGATTTTCTTAAAATGCAAAGCATTCATATCCATAGAATTTTAAAAAATATTTCATAAGGTTATATCCAGAAACTTTAATGTATTTCATCATGATTTTATTTTATAGGCTACACAAAGTGCTCAGAATAAGCTAAACATTCTCCACCCAACTTTTGATGTAATTACAACCACAAGTATTTGGGGTATTTTTTTTTACTTGCTTTAAACATCTAAAAACTAGTTTTTAGATGTTTACTTGCAAAGCATTTCTATTTTCAAAATAGTGAGCTGTATTAATATAAATCTAATTTTTTGAGTGTTGCAGATTCTCAATCCAATTTAGGTCCTGATTTTTGCATAATATGTTTCATAGCTCTGTGCAGCACTTCTGACAAACTTACTTGTCCTTGCTGAAGAAAAGCATTCCTGCAGCATGATACTGCAATCACCATGCTTCATCATGCATGCTTTGGGGTGTTGTTTTACTGTTAGTACTTTTAAAGATGACACACATTTACTAACCCAGTGGTTTTCTCTGTAATTAGGCAACCTCTGATTAGAACTGGTTGCACTGCATGACACATATCCAATGTGTGACATGCACACATGTCACACATTGTGTGCATGTGTGACATGCACACCTAAAAGCAAACAACCTTTGCTTTTAGGTTTCCAACTAAAAGCAAAGGCATGCAGGAGAAACAACAATGCAATTTAACCTAGACATGTGTTGTTACTTGCAACACATTTTTTAACCAGTCATCTTCTTCCCTCCATGCACAATTAAACACTACTTTGTGTTGATTTACACCATAAAAATCACCATAAAATACATTGCAATTTGTGGTTTGAACAGGACAAAATGCTTAAAAGATAAAAAGGCATTAATATGGTTTTCAAGGCAGTATTTAATTGGTTGAAATGTTAGCATTGCTTAATGTTAACTAATGTTTGTGTGTTCTGCAGTGTGGAGTTTGTGCTAAGGCCCTGGGAGAAATGGTGATCACCATGTTCTTGCTTGGCAAAGTGATCCACTGCGAAGACTGCTATGAAAAAGCGTTTCACTCTTGAATTCTGCTGGCGAAAAATACTTCCTGTCACCAAGCTTACAGTCAATAATGTGCTTTCAGAGAATCTCCATGGTTTGGCCCTTGATCTGTACACTGTTTTACTGAATGTTTTCTTTCATTGGGAAGGAGGACATGGTGTGATGTGATGTTTAAAAATCGTGTAATGAAAAGAAAAAAAATTACACAGTGCTAATTATCACAGATGTTTGAATGAAATGCTCCAAAATTAGCATAACTTATTTTAATGCCATGTACAGGATGTGATTAAAATAAAATTACAATCAAATCCCTTAGATCAAATCAATCATTTGATTAGCCTGAAATTACAAATAAGCACACACAAAACTGGTCAGCTTCAGAGCAATTATTTAAATATAGACCTCTCTGTTGCTAATTTTAGGTTATCATGAAGACAGTTCCTCACGTTTAAGAGAAACAAAAAAATAAATAAATAAAACGCACAGCAGATTTCTTCAGAAGAGAGACGCTCCAAGAGAAACTTTGGTACATTCAGCTTCACCTGCTTTAGACTCATGATGCTCATGGGCGATAATAAGGCAGCGGCAAAAATTATATCCACAAACCAATATCTGTACCAGTAAACACTGTACAGGATGCACACAGTTATGACTTGCAAAGCAAAGCTGTCGTTGCTCTTAATTATTCATGAAACATCATACATCACAATCAGCTCCAGAAAAGCCTCACAGAGTGAATTAAGAGAGAGAGGGAGAGAGAGAGAGAATCAACAACAAAGTGAGGATGACTTGTGAAATAGGTTGGGGCTCATTACAGTGGGTGAATTATCTTCCTCTCTTTGTCTGTTGTTCATACATAACAGTAAAGAGAAACACTGGTCTGTTATCCACAAAAAGAAAGGAAAAGAAAAAGGACTGCAGATGATCCAGGTTTGAAAAGTTTCTGTTTCAAGAAGGCAGGACTAAAACCTGGAGTTGGAACGAGTATCTCATAGCCAGACGTGAAGCACTTAGCAAATTCCTTTTCTGCCCAGGAACCGCAAGACTGCGTAGTTGTAGGTGGTGGGAACCAGATAGAGAATCTGGAAGAAGAAAGGCAAGGCAAAGACAGACATGAAACAGCATTAATATTCTACATATAGACTGAGAGTGTATAACATTCAGTAAACAGAAGCAGAGCGACACACATACACTTCAATCTTTGGTTCCAGATGGTTAGAAAAAGATATGTGGATGTTTTCTACTCAAGACTTCAAAAATTGATAGGAGTATTGTTCCTGATGCGGCAATAATCAAATTTCAAAGCTTCCTTGTTATTTTACATCGTCTACTTGGAAAAATCTAAAATCGGAACCAGATGAATTAGAGAACAGGTTTCCAACTAAAAGCAAAGGCATGCAGGAGAAACAACAATGCAATTTAGAGAGGTCAACTAACCTAAAATGCATGTTTTATGTGTGTGAGAGGAAGCGTTAGTACCTAGAAAGAACCCGCGCATGAATGGGGAAGACATTCAAGCTCCATGCATAAAGGCCCTGGCCTGGATTCAAACGCACAGACCTTCTTGCTGCAGGGTACATGACCTTGTTTACTGAAGTAAGTTCAAGATACATTTATAGTTCCTGGGCATATAAGTGAGTGCTTCAAACTTGAAACTCTGAGTGATATTTGAAGTCATATCTTTGAAATAAGAATGGAAACAGTTCTTGAATTGTCAGGTTCTGTTGACAGAATCAACTAACAAAGACTGTCTGGCAAACTCTGCCTGAGCAGACTTTGCTATAAAACAGTAAAGAAGCCTGGCGTTCCATTTATCTTGCAACAGTCTGGAAAATCTAAACAGTAAGAGATATGAGAAGACATGGCTGATTTGTAAGCACTGTGATAACCCCATGATGAACTAACAGCTGGTAATGAAGCCAAAGTCAACATCTCCTTCAGATATATAGGCACCAAATTCTATTTATATCTAAAATGCTGATCAAACATGAAAAGGATGAGATTAAGAGTGAGATTATGATGAAACCTGGGTTACATTTGTAAAATCATAAAACAGAAGCATCCTCTGAGATTTCTTTTTTGTCAGTATGACTGTGTGGCATTTGGTGATCACAAAAACAAAACATATAAACCAGCTACAAATGTGCAATAATTTTCTGGAGTGATTAAAGAAATTTGGAATTTTGAATTTTGCCCATTTTCATCAGTCCATCAAGCAAGTAGATTTGTAGAGAACAATTGAGCAACAAGGCAGTTCAAAGTGTTGTACATCATAAAAACACACAAAAAATTATAAAGCCAACAGAAACAATGACAAACATTTACATTTACAAAATTACTATATTCAAAATCTTCAATAAACATCAAACATGGTGGTCAATGTTCTACTTATTATTGTTCAAAAGCAACTCCAGGAACTCCAAACAGGTGAGTTTTAGTCTTGATTTAAACAAGGTCAATATACTTTGTTGTCAATAACAGCAGATTATTATGCCAACCACTATATATGACCAGTGTGTTAAAAGGTGTACAGGTTTATGAACCTAATTTGCAGGTCCAACCATGCTTCTATTTTGTTCATATTGTCTCTGCCCATTCTTAACAGCATTTGCTTGAAAATATATCTTTGATTCATCAAAATGAAAATGCTAAGAGAATTGTCTATCCTAGTAAGATCCAAATTACTCTTAATGTCTGTACAATACTCCACTCTAAAAAAGAGAGAATCCTTTTTAAATTGTAAGCAAAATCAGTCCTTACCAGCGCCAAAAGAGTGACTCCAGCCCCTGCAAATGTGGCTATGTACAAGTCATAGGTGGTATGGTACTGTAAGAAGCAGCAAAAAACAATTGGTTTGGCTTATATTTAAATAAAGACTTTCTTACAAATGCATTCCAAGCAAGTAGTATCAAACAAATGTGAGATCCCTTGACAATAACTCACTTCGCTGGTTTTGCAAATAGCCGCCAAGGTCATTCCACAGGACTTGCCCGGCATCGCATCCCAAGGAAGCAGACCTGAAATGAAAACATGACGTGAGCGAGGGCTCTCCACCTAATGCAGAATCATGACAGGGCTGTGATGCATGAACGCTCCGTTTTACACGCAGCACATCAGAGACACAGCAATGAAGAATTATCTCCATCGTTTCATAGCAAATTCAACCATCAGTCTCATGGCCACTCCCCATCGATTAATCCCCCATGCTCCCAAGGACACATTAACACTCTCCTTGGTGGGAGGGGGGATGCAGTCAGTCATTGTAGGAGAAACCCACCGTACTGCCTCGCATCCATGCAGATCCAGCTATGCTGATTAATGCTGGGGGTGGTTTCAGCCAGGATGTTGATGTTGTGGCAGGTGTGCTCCATGTTGAACAGAAAGAAGACCGGGATAGCGGAGAAGGCAAACACCGCCAGCCAGATGAAGGCCAAGATGTATGTGGCGATAATGAACTGTTGAAACAAGAAGGTTATAGATTAGTTGCCTTCAGGCGCTCAGGTGTCAGCATGAAAAATGTGTTTTCGTTCAAATTGGTCATCAACCATAATTAATCATTCTGGGGGGGTTGGGCGACAGAAACAGAAACAAGAACCTGACGTCATGTTCCTCCCCTACTCACCGTCAGGCTGAGGCAGCGGCCACACTGGGTGCTCCTGAACTCCCCAAAGGTTTGCTTGACCGCACTTGTGGTGTAGAAACCCTCAGCCAGAAGCAGGATACCATAGAGGAAGAAAAATGATGCCAGCCCATAGATCACGAACTGGAAGTATTTGATACTGGGAAAATTACAGGGGGAAAGTCAGTCAAATGGAAATTGAAAGCAATATTTGAGAGCTCTTATGAACTTATTCAAGAGTAACTCACAAAGACGCTATGACCTCAAAGTCTTTAGGGTCGCGGGCAAAGTAAGTCTCGACGAGTTCCTCCGTCTGGGCCAGCGCCTCATGCCCACAGCCACAAAACAGGGCCATGCCGGCGTAGCACAGCAAGGTGGCCACCAGGGATGGGTAGGGCACTGCCCCAATGCACCGGATACAGCAATCATAACAACCTGAGGGGGCATAATATATCAGCACACAGGCGGCACATACCGCACATATAACCACACAACACATCAACGTCACTGCAGAGGGGGGCTCTTTCACCCCGTTGGGGAGCTATGAGGAAGGTCTCGCCCTGGCGGCACATCCATGAGCACGTGTCAAAACCCCCACAAAAAAGCAACAGAAAACAAGGAAAAAACACAATTAGACAGCAATGACAAACAAGAGTTCAAACAAGCGTCTTCCAGCAAAGCGTCCAAACTAAAGCAGTCGCCGCCGCCCTCACACGCAGACTTGTACACGTCTTCTGGTTTAAGCAGTCGTGTTGAAGCAATTTAGCAAATATCCAAGGGGTTAATAATAAATGTAATGCCAGAAAGTGGATAGAGAAAAGCACCTAAGGCTTTGCAAAGCCAGTGTTGTCTGACCGGAAACATTTGCTGCCTGTGATGCCGTACTCTGCAACAAGAAAAGATCCAGTACCAAGAAGTGATGTACAACGCTGCCTACGAGGTTACGCTACTGTACAATATTGCAACACTTCTGCGCTGATTTCATACGTATGTGACGGCTCTTCTGCTTGTGCCAACTCCTCACAGCTTAGTCCCAACTAAATCTGGCCCGGCCCCTCTCTCTGCGATGGTCACAGGCGTCACCGGGCCACTCAGGGACGGTGGTGAAGCATTGGCTTCACCGGGGGGCCCTAAGAAAGAGCCTCTCTTTGTGGTTCGCGGGGACAATATCCATTGTGTTTGGAGAGATCGGAGATGAACAAAGGGCAGTGATGTCAAACAAACAAAAGGCCATCATGACACCAGAGACGGTGTCGTGCGTGATGGCAGAAGGGGTCACCGGGACCATTTCAGCACCATTGGCTGTGTGTGACTTCTCCAGCTATCCACAGCTGGCTGAGGCTGGCACTGAGTGTCAGTGTGGGCAGGGGGCTGGGCTCAAAGGTTCAAAGAGTGGGTGGCAGGAAAACGAGGAGAAAGGGGGGCAATTCAAACAGTTTCCTAACAACAACAACAACATTCAGCTTTGCAACAATTACACAGGAAATCCTGCAGATTCTTAAATCTTTATGTGTGGTTTCATAAAAGTCTCTAAAAGGTCCATCTGGGTTCTTAATGCAGAAATGTGTTGAGCTAACCTTTTCCCAAATTATAAATTGTAACAGAAGAAAATGCAACAGTGGCAGCATGTAGTCTCACACAAACTATTGCAAAGAATGTGTCACTGTTGCCTCTGCTTAGATTTCATTCAACTGAA